CGACCTGTGTCCTGATCATATGGGATAACACGGTGCAGCCAACATGTCATACCGGTGCTATCACATACATGCCTGTGTGTGCTGAGCATGTACATTCGTCCGTCCCACACAGTCTCCCACATTACTCAAGGTTTGCAAATAGACACTCACGCGTCACCCATGAACCGCCCANTTTCCACACGACCTGTGTCCTGATCATATGGGATAACACGGTGCAGCCAACATGTCATACCGGTGCTATCACATACATGCCTGTGTGTGCTGAGCATGTACATTCGTCCGTCCCACACAGTCTCCCACATTACTCAAGGTTTGCAAATAGACACTCACGCGTCACCCATGAACCGCCCATGGGCACGTCATCGGCCGCCCCTCATAGGCCGTTCATGGGCGGCCAATGGGCTGCCTATGGGTGACCGGTGGGCACGCCCGTGGACGTCCCATGAAGTGCCCACGCCGTGGGCACTTCATCCTAGAACTTCGCCACCGACACATCAACCTCCCGCAGTAGTACTTACACCTGTAGCCATTCGGCTACGCTGCCAGGGCGGGGAGATGTCACCCTGGCGAGGTCAACCTAAAGACTACCTTGCAGGCTTGACCCGGCTGCAAGGTCGGTACCCTGTCAGGGTACCGATCCCACACTCTGTGGGTACCCTGCCAATCAGGGACCCTCGCGGGGTAGACACCCTGGGAAAACCCTGTAGCGCCAATGGCAGTTGTATTTACGGCGCCGAGAACAATGAAACTTTCCTTTTGAATGTTGCTTTTATATATCTTCTTGACGCGTCCCTCGCAGCAGCATTTGGTGCTCCTACAAGTACAAAAACAATAATCGCTCATCGACACCATTTACAGCAGGATGCATCCCAAAACCCAATCCATCAATAAAAATCCACAAAATTGGGGCTCACAACCCAAACTTGGACGACCACTTTGGACATTGCGAAACGTAGTCCCGACGTGCACAACCAACTCAGAACGCATCTTGAACCACACGATCTATGAACATGAAGAAGAAATATGACCCACCAACAATGCATCAATCCATTCCTTCACAACCAGAAAATCGAAACCTTTGCCTTCAGGTTCACGCAACTTGGATGTACCCGGTCGAGCCCACATTCTTGTGCATACGGAGACTCAACTTCACGAAATTGAGCTCCGACCAAACCTACTTGCCCTTGTTCGTAGCACCTCCATGCTTGGGTGCCCCTTCCCCCGGCGACACGCAAAAAAAACTCTGCGTGTGTATATCACGTCCAAGGTACGCTTATCGAACTGCAGGCGTATGATGCTTGCCTCGATAACACACCGTGACAAAAGAAAAGTGCCGCCACTTCACGAGGTAGATTGCCTTTGGACTAATGCCGAACGCTACGTATAAGCAACCTGCTCCCTCCCACTCCAAACAAACACCACACGAAGCGCTAAGCCCAAGAACATTGCCAGCAATTTCGCGCCCCATGCGGATGCTGAGCACTGATCCATCCGGCTCGTCGAGAAATGCGCCGAGCTCGGCATCGTCGCATGCACGTCTGCGGCCGGGGTGTCCTCCACGATGAGAATACCTTTCTGTTAACTCTTCGTCCCATCATCGGTGTTTTTGCGCGAGGAACGCGTCAATTTCATTATCGCACCAAATTCCTGTGAGATTTCAACTCCATCTACGCCTGTCTGTCTGCGGCAGATATTCATATCTTCTCACAGCCAGGAAGGAGCGTCCCACTTGCTATTATATTCATTTGGCATGTTTGTGGTACTTGGATATGAGTCCGATCTGTGCATCCTCTGTGGCGGATACGCGTATGGGAACTATGTGTGTAATGGGCACGTATGCGGTTGAGGTCCAAGTGCGGGGCCTCCGGGTGAGCACACGGCGGTGTGCTCCCGGCACTTGCCTGAGGGGCTTGCGTGACGGATGTATAAAATACATGGTCCTTTTTCATCTGCTGTTCCTGGAATAACACAGCACCCAGTCTCAACGCCACAGACCGCCGAGGGCAGCAGTGCACACTAAGACGATATCGAGTGGAACCTAGCTAGGCCAGGTGTTGGTTCAGCGATGACGAAAGCACGGGAGAAAGATTGAGAAGAAGAAATGGAGAAGATGAAGCAGGAAGTCGAAAGTGCAGCCGAGCGTGTGGCGGGGGAAGCGGCAGCTAAGATGGCGGATCTGCAGGGGAAAGTTGAGGAGGCAGAGGTGAGGAGTTTAGCGGAGGACGCTACTAGAGATACGGTGGGTGATGCCGGGTATGCGGCAGGTAACAATAGGATAAGCGACGCTGGCTATGCGCCTGGGTACCATAGCAGGGATGGAGCTGCCGGAGGGGCGGCTACTTTTGGAGCCGGGGGGACGCCTAGTATTTTCGATGATCGGGAGCAGCAGCAGCGTGACCGCGATTACGTGCGGAAGGACCGGAAGCCACCGGTGTACGACGGCAACTTCTCACTGTTCAAGTCGCTGTTCGAGCTCTTCCTCGCCCGCGAAGATCTATCACACACACTCGCCAAGCCGGCGAGTCCAGACCAACGCATCTGGCTCCTCAACAGGCTGCCAAGGAGCGAAAACGTCCGGTTGCACGATGAGCGTCCCGTGCGCGATCATGAGTATGCGTTTGAGTACTTGATGCGCGCCACGAAGGGGGCAAACTTTCAGGCTAGAATCCTTGCCGTTGGGACTGTGTCTGGGGCGTGGGAGGCTGCACAACAGTTCTGCCTGCCGATGAGTGACTCCGAGCAGGAGGCCCTGAAGCTGTCTCTCACGAACGTGAAGGTTCAGCTTGGAGAGGACCCATAGGAGTTCTTTCGTAGGTTCGACGGAGTGTTGTCTACTCTCCGCGCCGTCAACGGTGATGCGATCACGGATAGAGAAGTCCTCGCGATCATTCGAAGGAACCTCTCCGCCGACTACGAACAGGTCTACATTCTCTTCATGGCCAACAGATCGCTCACTAGCAAGGATATAGAGAATCTTGTGCGAAGCCTGCGCGCCGAGAGGGACCTCAGGAATGATGCGCGGCGGACGGCAGCGCCGACCGGTGACCCCCACGCTCTTCATGTCGGCGGTGGAAATTTCGGCGGGACTGTTGGGGAGATTTTTGTCGTCAACAGCAGCATGGTCTACAGCACTCCTGCGGAGGTGTTCCCGTACAGCAACCGTTGTACGGCGTGTTTGGCAGAGGGTGTTCTTTTCAGCAGCAGCGGCAACAACCGTGCGTGCAGCAGAGGTTCGTGCCACAGCCATCGGTGCAGCAGCAGCCCATGCCACAGCAGCAGCCTCGTTAACAGCAGAACTTCTACGGTCTTGCAACGGCGTTCCTGGTACAGCTTCAGCTTTCGCCCGCGGACCGTTCCAGCAGTAGCGGACGAACGGCGAGTTTGGCGACGTGTCTGTGTGGGGGCAGCACCAACAGCAGCAGCCAGGCGTGGTGTACGGCGGTGACTCTCAGCAACAGCCGCGGCAACAACAGCTAGCGGACGGCTTCAACGGCGGTGCAGGTGGACAGGTGCGTGGTCGGGTGTTCGTTGGTGAGAAGGGGGGGGGGGCTGCTACCGGTTCGTCGGCACCGTATTTGCCGGTAAAAGCCCCCGCCAACGTAGCTTCTCTCAACGTAAACACACACTCCGCCACTCGCTCTCCCCAGCGGCCCGCGACATCACGTGTAGCACCTGCAGTAGTACGGCAACGCGATAAGCTGAATCTCATGGAGGGCGGATACAGCAGTAGACGTGTAAGGGAGGAACACATGCTTGGATCGTATCACGTTGTTGTAGTTTCGCCGTCCGCGGAATCGCAACAACCCCAGCATTCGTCGGAAGCGGTAATAGCAGCAGCGGCGTCCCCGGTCGCCGCGTCGGCAATGGGTATACAGACGGCCGCAGCGGCGGCGGCGGCGGTGGCGGCGGCATCGGCAGGAGCGGCGGCGGCGCGGACGGGTTCGGCCAAAGCGCCGTCACCGACAGCAGCATCGGCGGGAGCGGAGGTGGTGCGGACGGCTTCAGCCAGAGCGCCGTCTCCGACAGCAGCATCGGCGGCGGCAGCGGCCTCGGTGACGGGGGAACGGCAGCAGCAGCAGCGGCGGCGTCCGCGGTCGCTGCGTTGGCGTTGGGTGTCCAGACGGCCGCAGAGGCGGCAGTGTCGACATCGGTGACGGGGGTAACGGCAGCGGCGTCAGCAGCAGCGGAGTCCCCGGTCGCCGCGTTGGCTTCGGGTTTCCAGACGGCCGCAGCGGCGGCGGTAGCGACATCGGTGATGGGGGTTACGGCAACGGCGACAACAGTAGCGGCGTCCCCGGTCTTCGCATTGGCGTCGGATGTCCAGACGGCCGCAGGGGCGGCGGCGACGGCACTGGTGACGGAGGTATGTGACGAAGACTTGGAAAAAGCGGTTGGTGCGACAATCATGCCATTGCCAGTCCTCGAGGAGGTTGATAGCCAATATGCTCGGGGGGACGTGAGCAACAGCAGCATAAGCAGTAGCAGTAGCAGCAGCTGCTGCAGCGAGGACAGCGGCGGCGATGGGAGCGGGGAAAGGGGTTGGATGAAACCTGGAGTGGAGCCCCGATGCACCCTTTCAACCCCGGTGCGACATCATCGCGTGGCGCTAGGAGACGGGGGGCGGTACCAGGGTTGGCGTACCCCTTCGATAGGGGCAGGAACGGGAGTGGCAGCTTCGGCGGCGGCAACGCCGGCAACAGCGGCAGCCGCAACAGCGACGGGAGTGGCGGCTTCGGCCAGAGCTCCGGCGGCGACACCGGCGGCAGCAGGAGCAGCGACGGGGGTGGCTGCTTCGGCCAGAGCTCCGACAGCTCCGACGGCAGCAGCAGGCGGCAGCGGCGGCTTCGGCGAGAGCCTCGTCGGCGGCAGCGGCGACAACGGCGGCGGTGGTAGAGGCGGCAGCAGCGACGTCACCGGCAGCCGTGATGCGCCTTAACTCATGACGGTCGTGGCGGCGGGGAACGGCAACGCCGGCGATGGCAGCGGCGGCAGCAGCGGTGGCGCCCTTGAGTCGACCGGGAACGGGGAGGACAAGGTGACAGCGACAACCTCACCTTGTTACAGCCAAGCGGGAGAACATACGACACGTTACGACTTTGTCCGGTTTTGTGAGCAGGCATGTACGTTTTAGCCTCGTTCTATGGCTTCGCATTTATTTTTGTACGTTCTGTTTTTCCCTTGCTAGCGCACCGCGCACTTGATACAGAAAACGCGTGTATGCCATGGCGTGTGCGTTTTTTTTTCTTCTTTTGTACGTTCCGTGATAATAATTGTACGCTGCGACAAGAAAATCATTCCCACAACCTGTGGAATAGGAAGCAGCACGTGGGTATTGTTTTTCCCTTGGTTCTTGGTATATTTTCAGTCGCGTTATAACTTGCAGCTGAATGCTTCTTAATATTTCCGTGTTCTTGGGAGGGAGTACGTTCAGTCGCGTTTTTTGTCTAACAACTGGAATGTTTCAATACTTTGGTTTATGTGTGAGGTCCTGAGTTAAGTGGTCGATCTCTGCGGTTTGTTTCTGGCCGCGCGAACGAAATGGGATAATAGCGCGTTGGTTGACATGCAATAAGTCATACCGATCAGGGAGCAGTGGGGCTTTTGGAGTTCCAGTTGAGACAGTTTGCATGCGATACGAACTTTTTCTGGAGTTTGATACCCTGTGTGTTACGTGTTTGTTATGTTTCTCGTTTGTATCGCATGTTTTGCTGCTCCTGCATCCAAAATCATGGGGGGATGTCATGATGTTATGTATGACCATATTTCTAGAGGGCATGAGCAGCAATCGAATTGGTTTCTTTTCTGGTCGCGCCTACTTGTGTGTTAGGTGAACGGTAAAGCAAGGGGGCTGTTGGCATCGAGATATTGGCTCGGGGCGAACTTTGGGAGCTGACAGCAGGGGGGCTAGTTGCGTGGATGCCTGCTTATGTTTTCTGTCGTTTCTTGGACACAAGCAACGGTACCGCGTAGCGAATGCGCGCTGTTGAGGATTTGGTCCTTGGGCATTGTATTGGAGGAAGGATTTGACATGTTTTGACGATTAATGGTTGGGACTGTTGTGCCTTCCGAATACTCGATTTGATTGGTCAAGAAGTTGAGTTTTATTTTGTTTTGTAAGAGGATTTGGTGCTCAATCTTTTGAAGTTGTTTTTTCCAGAAGTAACAGCATATTGGTGAAATTGAGAGCGAAGCATCTGATTGAGATCGAGATTGCGCGATGCGCTGCAGCTGGACTACTGCTGAGAGGTGGAGCTTGCTGTGTAGCTTGAATTGAAGGGCCAGCCCGTAGCTACAAGCAGATACCACGGTCATCTTGTGGGAGTCTCTCGATGTGGAGTTCCAGCGGCGAGCAGAAGCTACAGCAGAGCCCACCGCCCGAGGCCAAACCGCCCTGCAACAGTTTGAGGCAGGAATAGCCAATCTGGGGAAATCTAGGATCTTTTCTAGCTCCTAGCTGCAGCATCCGATGACGACGATACGCATATGCTCGTGACGCTGCTGATGAGACCTTCAATTTGCGCCGCTTCTTGGAAGAGCCCGCCCCCTACTTGCCAAGAAAGAGCAAGAGGCGTCTGGACCCGAATTATATTTTTTTTGGCTCTCGCTCTCAACTTCACCAATAGACTATGTTGTCTGGACGCCCGTTTTCATTCTGACGCTTTTGTAGCACAAGTAATTTTGATGGGTGCTCTTCTGAAGTTAATTCTTTTGTGCCAACGGTTTGAGATTAGTTTCAGAGACGAACGCGTTGGATTCGTGAATCAACTGATGGAAAAGCTTTGTGTTGAATGCGTCGCCAGTTTTGTTGAATAAGTTTTCTTAAGAGGTGTTTTTCTGTGTTGGCTGACTACGCGTGAAGGGTCGCAAGATCGTACATCGTATCAAGTAGGGGGGCTGTTTGTGGTACTTGGATATGAGTCCGATCTGTGCATCCTCTGTGGCGGATACGCGTATGGGAACTATGTGTGTGATGGGTATGTATGCGGTTGAGGTCCACGTGCGGGGCCTGCGGGTGAGGGGCTGTCGCACTTTCCGCGGTTTTACTGAAACGCTCATGAGCAGCTCAAGAGCGTCTCATGAGCGTCTCATGAGCACCCATGGGACGCTCATGAGCAGGTTATGAGCGTCTCATGAGCGTCTCATGAGCCATGGGCGTCCCATGAGCGTCTCATGAGCGTCTCATGAGCTGCTCAAGGGACGCTCATGTCCCATTAGCATTTAGCTGCCCATGAGACGCCCACGGGATATGCTCATGAGGCTGCCCATGAGCGCCGCTCATGGGCGCTGAGGAGACGCTCATGAGCCGCTCATGAGGTGCACACTACCATTTTGATGAGCAGTCTCATGAGCAGTCTCATTGGCAGTCTCATGGGCAGTCTCATGGGCAATCCCATCGACGTCTGTCTCATGGGCGGCGTCTCATGGGCGGCGTCTCATGGGCGGGTATTATTATGGGACACTCACGGATGGTGGGCGTCTCCTACGTAGTCAACCATATTTGCGTGCTCTGCGAAGCCTTCATCACTCGTGCTGGTGTTAAACCCCATCATGCAACAGAACAACCGCACAAACCATCCGCAACGATCCGTCGGAGTTCAGTGTTGTACCAGGGTGTGTGAGCGTTTTAGTAGTTCTTTCCCGCTGCGCGCGGGGGGAAACAAAAATGCAGCGATAGGGGAGTTTTTTTTTCCCCCAAAAAACTGCCCTTTTGGGCACGTGGTTTGGGGCGATTTTTTTTTTTTTCACCTCGCGCACACTAAGTCACAACTTTGGCACCTGCGATTGAGCAGCTGCAGGCAGCGCCTGCTGTACAGCTCGCGGCTTTCACTATCTACATATAACATAGGGTGCTCGCGTCAGGTAGTTGGACCCGGCGAGGGCGTGTTGGAGGAATGCTTGCGATCCTTGACAACTCATTGTGTGTTGTTCGCGGCTGGTTTTGCAATTGGCGAGCTCACAACGGGGTGTGTTGCCCACTCCCCGGAGGTTCACAGCGCTGCTCACTGCCACCTAGCCACCATTCCTACATCTGTGTGGTACGATCAGTGTCGGATGCAGTTTGTGGGGGTCTAGCGCCGCTCTCTGTCGAGTACTGCTGTGAAGTGGAGGTCGGATTACCGATCGTGCGAAGGGATCTTTAGGGGGTTCGGGGGTGGGGTTTCCGGAGGGTTCGGAAAGCATGCCGTGCTGTCGGCGCGCGCGCGCCTCAGTTCTTGCTTGACGGTTTGGAGGTACACCTTGCTTGCGGACTGAGCCAGAGCTGTGCAGACTTGCAGAGCCTGCCTGTTCGTGTGTTCTGTGGAGTAGTTTCTGCGCGCACAGGAGACTCATGGTGTGCAGGGAAGGAGAAGAATACCGCGAAACCGTACGGAAGCAATCAATACAAAGAGCGCGTCCTGCTCGTGCTCTGAACAATTTGTATGTGCGCGCCTGCCGTTGGGTAAGGCGTGCTCGCGTGTACTGCTCATGTACGAAGAGCGTGGAATATCTAGCTGCATCTAGGTGCATGTAGGTTTAGGCTTACTTTGCACAGCTTCGAGATGACCAGAACCGCTGACTGTGTTGACACACAAGAAAAAAAACGATTGACACTCAACGGCCGCATCAGCATCCAGATCTGCAGCAGTATCTATGTGCTTGCTGCTCTGTGCTGCTTCCATCTGCCGTATCTTGATATTTTTCCGACGTCCAACCACAGGCAACAACAAAGCAATACGACATATGAAGAAGAACGTTTGCCCCCAAAGTCATCCTTTAACGTGTCGAAAACCTACCCATCTCCGGCTCAGGTTAAGACCGAAGCTACGCTCATGTAGGTACCGTAGGTGACACAAGATATCATACCCCCTGGACCGATTTTCCAAGCTCGATATTTACACAGCAGAAGAGTGGCAGCGCCGGAAACGGCGGCGTTGAAGCCGTCTTGTCGAGAGCATTCTGAAACAGTCGTTTCATGCACGCATCCTTTTCGTCGTGGATTAATCGAGCTTTGAAAATCGGTCCAGGGGGTATGGTATCTTGTGTCACCTACGGTATAGTCTAGGCAGGTGTAGGCCACTGCTTACATTTACAGGCGCACATCGCAGATAATCTGCTGCCCGACTTATAGGTTGCAAATGGTAGATACTATATTCAACAGCTTCCCATTTCGAACTAACGAGAAAACCCAAGAGCTTTTGGGCAAGGTTGTAGTTGATGAGATATTTCCAGGTGTGAGCGAGTCGTGTCATGTAAGCAAACCGTATTTTCTCTTCCTCTACTCCAACTTGGTTGAAGGGGGAGTTGCAGGAGGAGAGAGAGGAAACAGAGGAGAGAGAGGAGAGAGGCAGCCGAGATAGTCTAGCCGATAGCCCGTTCTTCAACTTCGGGTTACAAGGGGGGAACGGAAAGAAAAGACTGCGAGGAAAAAAACAGCGCAAAAAACATGCAAGCGAACATCGTGGTTAGGGCAACACGACCTTCAATGTAGTGAAAGGTCACCTTGTAGTAGCATAGGTGGGGTAGCATTTTATGTGGGGCGTATTCTGTCCAGTGGTAGGCACTTGCGTGTTTGACTTGATTAGACCCCATCGCATGCCCAAACCGTAGCAATTACTAACTGCACGAGCTGGTTACTGGACCTCTCGAAGCAGCACGCACGTACGTACCACAAGTCCAGGACGAAATGGTATTAAATGCCAAAAGGCAACCTCAAGATGATTGCCAAGTCGGCTAGTGGGCATCAGACAACTTTCGTGGACAGAATACAAAAAAATTCTACCCTCATCTGGATGCGACGCAATGGGCAGAAGGCAATGGTAGGTCTGCCAACCAATCTTGTTTTCGATTCAGGATCAAGAAAGTGTTCACGACAATTCACCACTTTAACATCTGGGAACAAGTCTGGTTGTCCTTTGAGACGCANTTTCGACAATTCACTACTTTCACATCTGGGAACAAGTCTGGTTGTCCTTGGAGACGCAAGATACATCGTGCTGCTTATGGAAAAACAAAAAAACAGTGAGCATTCGATAGTACTGGAAGTGCTGTGAAAGGCTGAAAAAAATAGTTCTTAAAGCATCCCTATGGTTAGCGAAATCAATCTGTGGATCCCCCAAAAGGAAAACCAGTGCATCTAACCCCCCACTGCCCCCAACCGTGCAACTACATACCCCATCAACCGAAAAAGGAGGGTGTACTCATAGTCGTGCATGCCGTAGTCGTTAGACCATTGACCTCGCATCCCTACAAAGCCGGGACGGAGCACGCCGGGTTCTCACCGGAGGGGGGGAATAAAACACCAACTCTACCCACCACTGTTAACAGGGCGAAACGACGGAATGGCGCAAGCGGGTCAGCCAAGCGAACACCGTACCAGAGCATCTGAGACATAGTACAATAACATCCAAGCCCCCCAAAAAATATGGCTACGATTGAATAAAGGTCAGCCGGACCCGGCCGAACTGGTCGAATGATCGCATTAGAGAGTTCTCGCAGAAGCCTCTGCCGCAGAACCAAACCTCAGCCTGGCAAATCTGTACTTTTTCCAAGCCATGGCCTCGAACACGCTTGACCATGTTTGCTCGCGACCGTCGGTTTATTTCCTCATTCTCGGTCTCGTTGATCAGAGTTACCATGAACGCAAAGCGGTCAAATTTCATGACATTCAACATGTGCAGACACTTTTTANTCTGTACTTTTTCCAAGCCATGGCCTCGAACACGCTTGACCATGTTTGCTCGCGACCGTCGGTTTATTTCCTCATTCTCGGTCTCGTTGATCAGAGTTACCATGAACGCAAAGCGGTCAAATTTCATGACATTCAACATGTGCAGACACTTTTTATTCTTCGCATGGTTCTGCTCGTGCGCGTTGAGGTTGACCCCCGACAGCTGGGCGCATGTCTCTATCCCACTGTACTTTTGGCGGCAGTCATCCCCGTGGTTGCAGTCCTGCAGGGTGTCTGGCCCGTAGTGAGGCCCGGCGTTGCTTCCCAAGGCGTGTGTTCTGCGCACCGTCGCCGTGGGGTCCTCCTACAGCGGTTGGATGTCGAACGAAAGGCCATACTCTTCCACGATGCCATTGATGTCAGCGCTTTTCCCCGGTTGATGGTGAGCCACCTGAATTTGAAGGGCTTTCGTACGCTGCACCGCCGACCCGAAGCATGCTCCTGAGCGCACAGCCAGTTCTGTCAGGACGAACAGAGATCACATACAAAAAGACGGCATGCCATTTGTTGGCTCATGAGAACGTTTTGACAAAGGGCTAACCATTGTTTTTGGGGGGCTGGAGGTAACGAACGACATGTACATGTACAACACCGGTACCAACCTTGACAGAATATGGCAAAACGTACACAGTAGAATTTAGGTCCTTAGGTGATTGGACCAACAACATGACTAGCCGTGACACCTACCGCAAGCAAGTGCCCACTTGCTCGTACCTACCCGCTTCCTTGCGCGCTCATTGGCGGATCGAAGTCCACTCGCGATGAACTCCTCCTTGGCCTGATTAAGATGTCAGGGGTCCCGATTGAGGGGACGGACAACAAACCGTGTGGTCGAAGTACTCGAGTTATTTAGGTTACCGCAATGAGCATGCTTCAATGCATTTAGACAGAAACTTATNCAGTTCTGTCAGGACGAACAGAGATCACATACAAAAAGACGGCATGCCATTTGTTGGCTCATGAGAACGTTTTGACAAAGGGCTAACCATTGTTTTTGGGGGGCTGGAGGTAACGAACGACATGTACATGTACAACACCGGTACCAACCTTGACAGAATATGGCAAAACGTACACAGTAGAATTTAGGTCCTTAGGTGATTGGACCAACAACATGACTAGCCGTGACACCTACCGCAAGCAAGTGCCCACTTGCTCGTACCTACCCGCTTCCTTGCGCGCTCATTGGCGGATCGAAGTCCACTCGCGATGAACTCCTCCTTGGCCTGATTAAGATGTCAGGGGTCCCGATTGAGGGGACGGACAACAAACCGTGTGGTCGAAGTACTCGAGTTATTTAGGTTACCGCAATGAGCATGCTTCAATGCATTTAGACAGAAACTTATTATCAGATATAATACAACAATGTTGGGTAGTCTTGTTGAATGCCATCAACTCAAAAAATTCGAGCACTGCTGCCATTTAATATGCAACGAAGTGCATGCGTTGTATGGAAGAGGTGTGGTAGTTTTAGCGGTGGACACAGAGCATGCGGATGTCGTTACCAGCATGTGAGAAAGGTGTTCTTGTTCCCCTTCAAATCACAGCAACACGTGAGTAATATGCCAATATGTCAGCAGTGATCTACCCATTTGCACTTCGGATTGAACAATAACATAATAACACGAAACAAGGTAGGCTTCGCCGTTAGCATAAATCAAATCAGCCGGCTACGCAGCGAAGGAAGACGGAATAAACGTAAGGTGGAAGAATAAAACAAAGGAGGGAAAACGTGAGGTGGAAGAACAAAACAAAGGAGGGAGAACGATGACCAATGAGGAACGCCGTACACAAGGCGACATAAGCACGCGAAACAAATGCAGTTGAGCAACGAAGCAACGGACAAGCACGAATACTGAGAAGGCTGGAAAAAATAAAGCACAACAGCCCACTACGTAAGCTACGCAAAGGAGACGTACTTACCTCATGCTCGTCAGGCTCGCCAACCCGGGGAAGAACTCCTTTGTTCGGCGCCGCCGTCTGCCAGAGGCCGTGGACGAGCGGTACTACACGACTCATGATGTCCGTGATGACGAGGATGGGCATGTGCTGCATTAACCATGGGGGACACGGGGGACACGAAAGCATGGGTGAAGGTAGAGCGTGGGAAGTTGATCTACTGTCGTGTTTTCGCCCGACGTATTCTAACAGACACTTCACAAACGAATCTGAGAGGGATACGCCAGCAATAGACCTAACACGGACTGCCATCTCGGTTGTGGTCTTCAACTTGTTCTCCCCCCGTGCCCATTCATTGCATTTGGAAGCCTTTCGAGATAAAGGTCACACACATGTTGTGTAGACAACCCCGAGGTCGTGGACGTCGTTTGCGTTTTTGCCTAGAAGTGTCCAACGGGAGACTATGCGAGACAACACAAGCAAAAATTGCCAACTTTTCCGAAGAGGTGACTCAATCCCATGCCTCCCTTTGAGAATTCTACAGTAGTAGAACATGAGTGTCACGCATGCAGACTTTGATTTCGACTTGACNGTGATAAGGGGTTATGTCTACATCCTATCCTACGGCCTGCTTGATTGATGGTAATGTTTTCATCGTGCATGCTGTGAGATGTGTTAGAAGTAGCGCGTTGGTGATGTTCTATTTTATGTTTTCTCTCTGGCTTGGGCACAACACATGCGCACTCCGGGCCTCCAAGCGCGAGTAGGGCAAACAGTTCAATCGATTGGAGTAGTGATTACAACACAGAGGATCATCATAACCTGAAAATGTTCTGCGTCTTTAATGTGTACCAAAATTCTCACAAAGACCCTGCTCCACGTGCATGTACACGGTCTCGTGACCACATAGATCACATAGAACAGGGTTTTCGCCTGATTGAGAGCGGAGTATAGCATTGAGAGCGGGAGCCAAAACAATTGAAATTTCGGGTCCAGACGCCTC